ATTTTTGCAATTTTAAAACTCGAACCCAGCATCCTGCTCGGTCATGAAAGCTGGCAATTCCAAAAAACTTTAGGATCAAAAAGAACATTTGATTACACACATGGTGTAGTTCGGCAAAGCTGTAATTTAAGTATTCTAATAACTTATACTTGAATAACCTCTCTATGATACTATTCAATTAAGGTTCAGATCCTTTCTTTTTACATATGGAACTAAACTTTCCATATTTTTTTATGCTGATGATCTATATTTTTGTGTGTAAAATCAAAAGAAAGTTGGCCAAACTATAGGTGGATCTTTATATACAAAATTTCCTTAATTAGCAAAAACTTTAAATTTGGAAAAACTGTAAAATAAGTTCATAACATAAAAAGACTTATTAAAGAGATATAAACTACGAAAGTTTGAGGTTGCAAAAGTGCTAATTAGCTCATATAATCTCTATAAAAATAAAGTTCTAAAACCATTTTTGACGCAGAAATTTCATATGGTAAGCTCAAAATTGCGAGGAAATTCTTAAATTTACATTTGTTTCATTATTCATTGCTGATGTACTGATAGTTAGCTAGGTTAAAACGTTATTTGCTTATGCTAATGATATGTTAATAAATCGAAATGTAACAAATTGTTCACCTATATTGATGGCGTATCATATTTTCCAAAAACGGCAAATGTTGGTTAATGAAAAAAAGTCAAAAATCATTTTTGTAATAAGGGACTTTGCAATAATTACCAGGAAGGGAGGACGTAAAACCAGAGGGGCCGCCGCCTTAAGTTTTATTCAAAATTTTCATTATTTTCTTTATCTTAAATTCAACGTAAATAACAATAATTGTAGAAAATGACAAAAGCAACTTTAAATGACAATTAATATAATTTTGATATTCCTTTTTCAGTTTTAAGAAGCTTTATCAACAACTGATCATTTTCAATCTTCTAGCTAAAGCGGCTTGTTAGGCTATCTTTTTTTATGAAAAATCTATTATGAAACGAAACGTAATAATGGAAATCTAAATTCCAAGACTTGTTGATTTGGGATTGAAGTTGACCACAGGTTTCCCAGGAAAAAATTCATACAAGAGCACTATTATACACTTAATGACTGTTCCCAAGGGAAACGGTTAGTTTTGTTTCCCGAGGTACGTCGTTGGTAAATTAAGTGAATAAAAAAAATCAAAACACATTGCAAGATAATTCTCAATATTCATGAATAATACTTTATTTATTGTAAATATAATATTTGACCGTCGCGACAAAATAGCAAGATGTTAAGCGTTTAAATTACATTGTGCTTGAAAATAAAACTAATATAGATATACAAATGCCAAAAAACTAGCAAAACTTTATGAATGAAACAGTCAATGAGTTCCTGAATAGAAATTTTACGTGACATTTGTCCAAATTCACCGTTTCTCTCTTGGTTTCTCTGCAGAATTCTTTGTAGCTTTGTAGCTTTGTAGCTTTGTTAGTGTTTTCCAAGTCTTTGTTGACATCCCAACCATTTCGTCTATTTCTTGACTAAGATTTGAAAATCTGTTTTGATGCCGGCTCCATTTTGTAAACAGTCGAATGCAGCAAAAACCATTCCCGCCTTTACGTAATGTTTAAGGCCGACAATGAGGACTTGACGGGGTTTCAAAGTCCGCGCAATTAGTTCCACTCCGAGGCGCTAGCCGAGGACTGGAACTAATTGCAAGGACTTTGAAATCCCGTCAAGTCCGAATTGGAGGCCTTTGAACGACTTCAAAAACTCATTAATTATTCAGGAGGAAAAAAAAAACGAAGGAAATACATAACAGAAATAACAGAACATAACAGAAATATATTGATTTATTGCATCTCCACCAAGGTTTTCAGTTTTCATAATTTTGAATACATGAAGCATTGTTGTTGTTAAATTCCCGAATGGCTCATCTGAAACAAAGTCTATTGAAATTGTCTGCATTCCTAATAAGCCTAATTCATAAGATTTAAAACCATGTTATCTTCCAAGGAATTGCATCAGAACCTCAGTGGTGTAATGGTTAAGACGGCGCATATAGACTGGACGGTAGGGGATCGAGTCGTGAGGGAGTCATGTATCAAAGACCTTTTTTCACTAAATCAATGTTAAACTGATTATTTCTAAATAATTTGATTATCATTAGCTAGTAGTAGTTGGAAACATGGTAGAAGTAACTGGAAATAATGTAGAAGTAACTTGAAATAAGTTCGAAGTAACTGGAAATAAGCTAGAATACAAGGTATAGGAGTACTTCCTCTGGTATCCAATTACTGCACGTGGTACAAATTACAATCAGGGATTGGCTGGATAACTCATGAATAATTAATGAGTTTTTGAAAAACTTTTAATCGACGCGAGGCGGCCTTTTCCCGCCTATGGCCAAGCGGTGAACAATCGTCAAACTGTTGACCGATCAGTCAACAGTTGATTTTAGCTCCGGACACGTGACMCCGAATCGTCCAATAAGAGAGCGAGAAAACAGTGAAAATAATTTACCAATATAACAAAACTATTTGTAGTCGAAATTAAATTTTTCATAACAATTTTGGAATGCACCGTCCGTAAATGTGACATTTTCACGGCACTGAAGATTGTTTTTCTGCGACAACATATTGTTGGCCGCTGGTGGACAGTTGCCGGGAAACAGTAAAATCTTATGACTCT